CAAGCAAACATCATACCCTCCATGGAGGAGAACAAAAACGCTTCCAACTTCTGAGGCCCGACATCACCTCCTAGAGTCGAAACCCTCACAGTGCCTGGTTCTTGCAAGCAGGCATGGCATCCTGCTTGCACCTCAAGGTTGCTACTGTATATATATATATACTATTCTCTATACCAACTGAATTTCCTGCAAGAGACCCTACCAACACCAGGTCATGTCATCGACTCCTGTTGCCGCCACAACCGGTGGCCGCCTGCTTCAGCTCCTTGACGTCTAAGGATCCGGACCTGGGCCAAGCGCTCCGGCCGAGCAGGGTGCACCCAGAGAGCTGTTCATTGCCTTCCGGTCCAAGATCAACTGCTATAAAGAAGCGGATTCCCACCCTAAACCCTAAACCCTATCCATTCAAGACAACCCGACCGCATGGACGCGGTTGGTGCCTGTCCACGTCGGCCGCGGCAAAGACCTTGTCCCAGGTCATTTCACGATGCGCCTGGCCACACGGTGTGACCGGCGTGACCGGACGGTCTTCCGTGACAGGTGTCGGTGGCTGGTTCAGTGTTCATGTGCGGGCCAGTGGGCTGTGTTCGATCCCCCAAAGTCGTACTTGGCGGGATCTGGAAGACCTTGTGTCCCAAAAGGATCGGGACTAGATTTATCACGGATTTCCTATTAATGTTCCCTCTCAGCGCCCAGCTGCCAACGTGTGAAAAAAAACGTCTGTTCAAGCAGTGTTGCCCCATATCGACCTTGCCCACCGGTTCTGGCGGGCGAAAGCCCAACCACTTCGCTGTTGCGTCGTCCATCTATGTTCATCTTCCAGCCCAGGTCTGTTGCATGAACCCCTCTGAGGTCTGCATGAAAGTTCACCCAAGGCTCCTCAATTCATGCTCCACTATGCAATGCTGAAATTAAATGATCTTTTCTGACGAAGGATGCATGTCGATCTCCTTTTCCACGTCGTTAAAGTGACTGCGCATGCCGTGAACCCCGATCGCGCGCGCACGCGTGATGCACGCAGGGCCTTGGCGGAGATGATCACCCTGCGCGCCCGTGCCAGTGCCTCGTTCGTGCGAAGATGGGGAGCTCTCGGTGGAAATGCTCTCGCAGAGTGGTTTTAGAGTGGTTGGCATAAACCCAAAGATGTTTTCTAGATGGGGGTTGATACAAACCACCTTTTGGGGATTGTGCCATCCACTCTCAACCCACTATAATCTGACTGGCTCAGAAAGGTTGTTGGATATGGATGCATAAACAAAGAAATCAAGTGTATCCAACACCTCTCTCAGCTCCATCGTGATCGTTGCTCGTAAGTGCCCCAAGCGATATCAAGCAACGAAACCATGGAGCCAAAGATAGCCAAAGCTTTTCCAGCACAGTACTGCCACAAGCATTCACAAACGAATGTTAGAGATGCAGCTCCGTTTGGACAATCTGCAAGTGACCTTTTAGCTAACCAAAGGCCTAAGAATTCAATGGCGTGATGCTTTGTCAACGTTTGTTTTTCACATGACAGTGCCTTCCAACAAGAGCCGTGTTCTACTTTGATCTTTGTCCAAAAAGTATACCGAAACTTCCATCTGCTTCTTCCCAGACTACCCCCCCACACTAGCCAAGCATTGTCATGTGGGGCATGACAAACATGTGACATGAGCCTTAGCATCAGGCCAATAGCATTCAGGGCAGCATGAGAAAGTCCATCGACCAATTCTCTGTAGTGCTCAGCCCTGCCAACTGCCAGCTGCCAACAGGACCTAGGTCCTGCTCCCACATTCGTGTGGGGCTTTCTTCGTCACGTTGGCCCCCACCATCGCCCGGCCAGGACCCCGCCTCGTTGTTCGTGAGCTTTCGGCCCACGATGGGCTCGCGGTTTTGCAGGTTGATGCCTAACCTCAGGGCGGCGTCTCGTGGGTTTCCTTGTGGGTTCACCACGCAGCTGACGGTGCAGTCCAAGCTCCTGATGTAGGCTTAGACTGATGTAGACATGCAGCCAACCCCGCGTCTCTAGAATGGTTTTACATCTCCAGCAATCATGATGTTTGATTCATCAGCGGTCTACATTGGGAGTTCCAGCTGGTACGGCCAACTCAGCCAGTGGAACCGGAAGCGATATGAGCCTACCATCTGCACCACGAGTGCTGATTGACACCTACAACACCCGCTTATTGACTTGAAGACATATCTCTCTTTTGAGATGCACATATCAAACCCTGCGAGTCCAAGACTCTGCATCCCAACAAAAGCTTGAATACTTGATCCCAAGAGGGGTTTATCATGGTTTACCTCTACTTCGGTGCCGTCGCATGGGCTGCCGGGCTCCTCTTCGGGGTTCCGCCCCTGGTGCTTGAAGGGCGAAGTAAAGGGATCTCGCACCTCGCCAGGTTCCGTGCACGGAAGCGAGGTTGCGGCGGACAAGCCGAAAAGAAAGATGCAAAAAGGAGCCCCGTTCGTAGCTTCTTGTTCCTAATAGCGATGCCCTTTGCTCCTAGTAGCTTCTTGTTCCTAGTAGTAAGGCCAGGAGCGCCTAGTAGCATCCTTGTTCCTAGTAGTAAGGCCAGGAGCCCCTAGTAGCGTCCGCTCAAAGGATTTGGTAACATTTGGGAGGAATTCTCAGATAGGATCGGGCTCTGAAGAGAAACAGGTTGATCAAAACATGATCTTCAGACTGTACACCTCCTAAAACATGAACATGTTCCTTGAGCTTAGCAGGTGAAACAGCAGTCCAAGGAAGGGTGGTGGACACACGCCCGGGCAAAGCGCAGCTGGGGTTCGCTCAACTTAGACTTCGGAAGCGTGGAGGGGATGCTTTGGGGGGATTCCTATTGGGGGGAATACTCTGTCAGGGGATTCTCAGCCTGAAACAGGTGGGCAGGTGGCCAAGGGATGAGTGATGTCTGAGGCCCGTTTTGGTCTCCAACGGACCACATTCTCAGAAGGCAGTTAGACACTTAGACACCCCTGGCACCCAACCACTTGAGGATGAGGATGAGGCCCTATGAGGCGAAACTTGCTAACATCAAGATGTATTTGAGAATTCCTGAAATCCATTCACTCACCCCATTCGCAAGCCACGACCCAAAACCACTGGCGTAAAAATCACAACACAACGAACACAACTTGCCATGGTAGTTTGCAATGGGCAAACCAAACCAGTGGGGGTTAAATGATATACTTCACCCACCACGGTGAGCGCGCTCAGAGTGTGGCCCTTGCGGTTTCCACCGCATCGATCCGCCCCCTCTCTCGCGGCGCTTCTGACCACCCCAGCGGCGGCATCGCGGCTCACGCATTGCCGCTCTTCCCAGTTGGCGGTATCGGTGCCAAAGGTGTGCAACACTCGCGAGAACTCCTGCGCAGCCCGACAAGTGGCGGTCTTCAGGTGGCCAAGAGGGTCGGTCTTCCCATCTTCTCGTTGCTTTTGGGTAACATGAGTAACAAAAAGGATACACTTCTGCACATAAAAGTGGTCAAACAAATGCCATGTTCACTGCAAAGGTGTCATATGTTTGTCACACAAATCATCACGCATCTATGAAAATATATTCAATTCTCAGGATTAGATCCTATAATTAGAGATTCTACAGCCAGTTTTGGATAGTTTTAGGGTGAGTTTCAGGCTTTCTCATGCAATGGCCGCCGAACAACCAAAAAAACGCCGGCTGCCTGAGGCTCCCGAGGCAGGGCACTCTTGCGGGAAGTGATCGCACAAAGCACCTGCGACGACTTCTTGGCGTGCAGGACGGAGCCCACTCGTGGCGCGGACCGCGGACCGCTCGAAGCGCCACGCCGAAGGGATGCGTGTTTGGAGTACGATGGTCCATCGATGTCCCAGAAGAGATGGACAAAGAAAAAAATCACAGACTTCGCGACTTAGTGTTCACCACATGAGAGACCAACACTTCCCTCTGAATGTTTTCAGACTACGCGTTGGGGAAAAATGATTTGCATACCCATGCATACTCCAAAAACCTCTTTGTTGAGGGCATTCAGGTTCCTTGTGAAAGGACCCACTACAAATCCATGAGCACAAGATTCCTGGAGTCTTCAACAAAATCATGATCATGCCACATCTTAGTCTCGCAAAACAACGTAGAATCAGATACATCCGCTACTTCCAAGGGTCTCCTAAGAGACTACCCTGCACTGCTTGTGGGCTTCCGTTAGGCCCCCACTGGATAGCATTGAGTCATGATTTTTCTGAGGACCCCAATTAATCCCAAAGCTGTAATATTGCTATATTACTGCTTCAATGTTGCGAAACTCTACACAAAGCTATCGTGCGTTCATAGTGTCTTCCCTCAAGAAAGCAAGCATAACACTTCCCAGGACCAGCTTGCTGTTTTCATGTCCTCACCTTGCTCTTTCACCAACAATCTTCCCCTCAAAAAGAGCGACGCCCTGCCCCGGATGGGGCGGCGCCTCCGAGAGTTCCCTCCGTCGTCCTAATGAGGCGAACTTCGGTCGCCGCGGCATCCGGCCATCGCCGCGTGGCGAAACCGGGGTGCGGCGCTGGAGCAAGAGGACTGCGGAGAAACGACGTGTTTGTAGCAAAAAACTCTTTGGATCTCTTTGGGATGACGCTCCAGGGGACTGGAAAAGACCAAAATTCCATGTAAAAACATATGATGCCGATGCCGGTCTCACCTTGGTCGGATCATGGTTTCGCTGGGAAAGGCGATCCATGGAATTCAATCCAGGCCCTAAGGTGACCCGGTCGGCAGTGTTGCATTAAGAGGTAGGCTTGGGGAGTTCTTCATCGTAAAAATTGGATGCTTTGAGGTTCACTGACCCAGCAACATTCCTTCTTGGTTGATGACCACAGGACTCTACGATATTGCAAGAACTGACTTCTGAACTTGTGTTTTTTATATAAAGGGGGTGATACTATACAACAAAATGACCTCAAAATCCTCTCCAAGTGGTTTCCTCGCTCTAAGGAAACCTCACACTTTCCCTGCTTGTCTCCCCATCGCCCCCGTCGCGACGTCATGCGCGCGCGCGTCACAGGGGACGGCGATGTTTTGAGGATGGTATTGCTCCAGCCATTCGAGGCCACGGAGATACACCGCCTTAACCTCTTCAGGGCTCAGGGGCGCATACCTCGCCAGGGACTAGGCCAGGGGCGCATTGCGGGGCACTCACGGATGGAAGGCTCACTGATGGAAAAGAAAACAATTCTTCCAAGACTCTTAGAGAAGGGAAATCTAATTCTTTGTGCGTGTTTCTCTTTTTCTCCCTCTCTCTCTCTCTCACCTTTCAATCTAATTCACTGTCTCCATGAAAAGGGGCCTAGCTACACTTCCAAAGATCCCGATCCCCCAGCATTGGTTCCTAAAACCACTCGACTTTGTGCCACCCGACTGTAATTCATTTGAGCACTCCAGGGTGTGCACATCCGCATACTCGTGTCAAGGCTGCCTTAACATCTCCCCCTACAATAGACCTCTATAACCAGCACCTTTGAGTGACATCCCGCCAGCGCCAAGTCGCTCGCCGGGCTGTAGGTCCTCAGCCTCGGACGCGGGACGTCCCGCGGACGACATCGGCGCCGCATCGTCGTCGCGCAGAAGGACGTCGGGCTGCACGCCGGTGATGCTGCCCACGCGTGTGCGGAGGAGGCGTTCGCAGCGGTAGCCTGGTGGGTTCGATTGCTTTTTGGACGTGATGGGCGCAGCGGCTTAGAAATCCTCCGGACAGTTTGTAATTGGTGATCAATGATGTGATCCAAGCAACAAAGCAAAGTGAATGATGATGGTGGTTGGCATATGTTGGCCTAATGTTCTGTCTTTCAACTATACTAGGCTCAAATGAGATAGGAAACATTAGGCTCAGGATGTGATGTTTTACGATCATTCTACACATCTCATGTTCAACCTAGCACATATAGCAATAGCCGCCATCAACGGCCTTAAAGAGATGATGATATTGATACTGATATTGATATGACAAACCAGGCCCTAGGTCAATGCCCATGCTAGTAGCAGTGATGCACAGGGTTTCTGCCCTTGTGGGCCTTCGCTCGAAAGTGACCTGTCATGATCTGGATGAGGCCCTCTCCAGCATCTTGGAGGAGGTTACGTAGGAATATAATGTAGGACATTGTAGGAATAAATATCATACCCAAACACTCCATGCCATTATATATGTCTACGTTACATTGACCCCTCAAACCACCCCAACTGATCGGCATTATATGGCATACTTAATTACATGATGTAGTGTCTGGGATATGTCAACGTCCAAATGCTACGATTTCTGGGCCACCCCTGCCCCACCGTCAACATGCAACACATGCGCTTCAACTCGCTCCCGGAACTGGCTCGCTCGCTCCTAAAGCGGAGCACATCCGTCGCACCAGGTGGTACCGGCCGTTGGACACCACCAGCCGCAGCAGGGCGGAGCGCTCGTCAGCGTCACAGCGCAGTAGCTCGGCCGACAGGGCCACGGCCAAGTCCTTGCCATCGCCTCCAGGCTTTGGAAAAGACTAACCGTCCCTATTCAAAACTATTCAATGATTGAGCACACAAATAAAACATGCGAGTTATACCAGCATAGACCCCAAACAGTTTCAAAACGATTCGCTTGGACCTATATTAGTCCAATAAAAATTCTTGGGACGCCCGACAAGAGAAGACAAGAGGAGGACAAGAGCCGGTCACAGAGCCCGGCCACAGAGTTCAGGGGCGCGGCCAGTCAGTGTGTCCTGGTCAGCGCGGCCAGAGGACAAGAGGAGGACAAGACCCGGCCACAGAGCCCGGACACAGCCAGCCAGTGTGACCAGCTCTTTTTTTTCTAAGATGGAACCCCAACAGTAAACTGTTTGGGGAAAAAGGTATTTCTGTGACTTCGCAGTGTCTGCGGGAAATATACAAAGAGCAACGCTGAGAGTTTTAAGCCAAGAGGATGCCCAATCAAAGAACAAACCACCCACTGTTCCACGACTGACTTAAGATTAGGTGAGAACTCCCTAATCTGTGTTCCGTTGTCGACTCACATGTGTTCTCTTCAACGTCTGTTGCAGCTCTATCTGTCGACTCCCAACTCCCACTTGAACTCGTCGGGCCTAGGTCGATGCCCTCGCGCAAGCGGCTGAGTTCCTCATGGCCGGGGCACTTGAAGGAACACGACGCATCCAGCATGCGCAGCTTCACCACGTACTCCTGGAGACTTGTCAACATCGGTCAATTCTGGAGATGTGTTTCTGACACCAAGGCTGGTTGGTCGATGTGGTGGCCCAAAAACAGCCAAACGGTTCCAAAATATGTTCCAAACCATTCATGTATGGAAGAGTTACACAGTTTTTACACCTACCCTTTTTGCACCATTGATGACCCAAAAGGTTTCAGGTACAAGATGGTACAAGATGTGACTCTATTCCATATGAATGGATCCTCTGGAACCCTTTGATGTGTCCTCCAACCACCGGTGTACCCGGGTACACCCGTCCACGGAAGCGGTGGGAAAACGATGTTTTGTTCCTCAGCTAAGACTGTTTTTTTGTTGGATGGAGGGCCATGGGCGCTTAGCGTAAACCGTTTTTGGCTATATCCTACTCCCAAAAGAAGTAGTGAAACTAGTGGATGATGATGGCTAGATGCTAGGCCTTTCCTTCAAATGTGTCTTAAATAACCGACTGTTACAGGAAATACGTAAACCATTAAAAAAATGCCTGGACACCCTGTATACATCACTGAAACAAGCTCATTCAACGGGTTGCTTGGGAGAAGAAAGTTGATCTTCAATGGATGATATGTGTGTTTGTTAAAATTCGACCCCCTGGAAGAAGGAACATAAAGCACACATAAAGACCAAAACCCATTGAATTGGATCCCATTGGGCCACAGGGGTCTCTTTATGAAAAATACATACCCATATACCAACTTTATGAAGTCATGTAGGCAAATATTACATGCACGGATTGTGGAGGACATGTTTGCCAACGGTCTCGTCGCGCCTTCTCGATGTGCGTTTCGGGCATCAAGACTGAGCGGGTAAAGAAGCCATCAGAGGTAAAAAGCAATAGGCCTTCGCCTAGGGCGGCGAAGGTTTGTGTGATATATATATATATATATCCGCCGACCCCGGCTGAAGGAGGGGGAGCGCGCGAGGGATTACAGGTGCGGGAGCCTTGCGCTTCTTCGTCTCAGCACGAACCTGCAGGCAACAGACGCTTCCACTGCTCGATGCTGCTCGAACACATGCATCACTGGAGCCGCAACCTATTGCGCTTCTTCGTCGCAGCACGAACCTGCAGGCAACAGACGCGGCCACTGCTCCATGCTGCTCGAACACATGCATCAGTGGAACCGCAAGCTACAGCAACATACGAACCCCTCTGGCGGTGGCTCACAATGTCGCGGTCGTGCTCCCTGAGGCCCTCACCGAGCCGGAAGCAGGGGTGGGCACCGAAAGTGTGACCATGGGAGGCTCGGAGGCCGAGACAAATGGAAACAAACTTGTTTTTTTCTAGGGATTCAGAGGCAGCGTTTGGCACCCAAAGTGCGACCATGGGAGGCTGGTTTTGGACCAGAATTAGATTGGGAAAAGCTGTGGCGGGACCAGGTGTTCGGGGCGAAGATGACCGAGACAAATGGAAACAAACTTCTTTTTTTCTAGGGATTCAGAGGCAGCGTTTGGCACCCAAAGTGCGACCATGGGAGGCTCGTTTTGGATGTTCGGGGCGAAGATGACCGAGACAAATGGAAACAAACTTTTTTTGTCTAGGGATTCAGAGGCAGCGTTTGGCACCCAAAGTGCAACCATGGGAGGCTGGTTTTGGACCAGAATTAGATTGGGAAAAGCTGTGGCGGGACCAGGTGTCCGGGGCCAAGATGACCGAGACAAATAGAAACAAACTTGTTTTTTTCTAGGGATTCAGAGGCAGCGTTTGGCACCCAAAGTGTGACCGTGGGAGGCTCGTTTTGGATCAGAATTAGATTGGGAAAAGCTGTAGCGGGACCAGGTGTTCCCACGACCTCCACGACAACGATGGGGCTTCTGGGGTTTGGCCCTCCCCGAGTTGTGTGCTTTTGCAGTAGTGCGGCTACGAGCACATTGAGAAGCATAAACGCCAGGAGTACAAAGCAAGGCTCGATTGGGGATGACGATTTTGTCTGGACGTCCGGCACAGAACGCGCCATGTTTTTATGCTGCAACATTCCATGCCTGACAAGAACAAGCCTTGCCGTTGGGTGTGCGGTGTTGGACTTGAATTCGTCCATTGGGCTTGGCTGACAAGACGCGCGCACCACATCGTGGACAAGTGTGCTCGTGTTGGCGACCAGCAACTGCACCGTCCAAGACACGAAATTTGTGGCCGCACTTTCCTCGATGGTGGACTCGGCCAGTTTGGACCCCACTGCGGCATGGACATTTGCAGCGTGGGCAGACGTAGTCATACAGCCTTGTCGGCTCCCCTCTGACCTGATTCCCTGGCTTCGCCTCGGGCACCTCCGGATTGAATGCGTGGCCATGCGTTGGCGCGTGGGGCTGCGCGCTTGACGTGGTTTGTTTTCCATGTTTGGATTCTGGTTTTGGGTGAGTCTCTGTCGTGGCTTGGCGTTTTGCTTGACGACGACTGTGCGGGACTGTGCTCGGCAGTGGCTCGATGGACGATGCGTGTGGTGCCACGACACTTGTGCTTTGTTTGGGGCGCTTTGCGGCGTTGGCTTCCTGTGCGCCGGAGTCCGTCGGAGCCAGACGTTTGCGTTCGTGGACGTGACTGGCGATGAGGTCTTTGATTTCTTGCAGGATGTGTTCTCGGTGGATTCGTTGGCGCAGCGACGCTAGACGCGCGTGGGTCTTGGCGGCGACGCGTTTGCGTTGGACGGTCTGGATGCGTGTAGTGTGACACGCATCGCACACTTGTTTCCCGTTTTCTCCGGAAGAGCGTCGGCGGAGAAAGATGGTGTACTGGTCTCGTTGTTTTCGTTGTCGACAGCGCGCACAAGTCCAAACGCCGCGGGTTTTACGTTGGCAAGTGAGGCACTTTCGCCGGTTCCCCTGTCTTAGTCGCCAGGCAGCAGCGCTGAAAAACTCTACGGTTAGAGTTTTCTGGCACACGAAGCATTGCTTTTTGGCTTCACAGGAGAGACAGACGCGGCACGACCCCCAGCGTGGACTCAGCTGCTTCGAAAGAAAGTGGGTGGCGGCATGCCAGACACCACACTTAGATGAGCCGGGTGTTTGCTAAGTAGTTACAGAGGTTATGTTAGTTAGCATAGAGGTTACTATCCTCGCTAAAGGTTTGCTAAGTGGGTTAGCAAACCACTTAACATGGGCACAAGTTAAGTGGTTAGCTAAGTGGTTAGCCTCAAAGATGGCTAAGTGCTAAGTGGTTAGCTAAGTGGTTAGCTGTCCCAGATCTTATTTTAAAAAAGCTATGTTGTATGAATATTTTTCATGCACCATTGCTCTTGTAGGCTGCACTGCTACAAAAGCTTCCTTGGTTTATTTTACAAATCAAAAAGCAAATCACTGCTTCCAATCAGCACAAAGACTTGATGCTCTTTTCTGTCAGGCACTTTATTGCTGATTTTTTTAAAATGTCTGTATGTGTTTTGAAAAGCTTGCTCCAGAGGTCAACAGCAAGGTCAAGACATTCTTCCTTAAAACAATTCTTCACAGGCTTGAAACAAAACACTGATGTTTCTTGCCAGGACTTTGGCATGAATTAGCAAGTGACCTTGCAAGCAACCCACAGTCACATATGGCTGGCTTGAATGGTGAACTCACTTATATGCCATATATCTCTGGGCAAACCAAGGGTTGCTATGAACCTGCACCCAATTCCACACAGCATGCCAGCAAACCACCAATGAAAGTTTGCACCCCAGACTCCAACAGCAAGTTGCAAGCCACTGCTTGGAACCACAAAAGGC